CACATTCCCGACTCTCATCGGATGTCACACCTGCACCTGAGCCACCAGAACCTGGACTTGCCCCCCAAGCCACCCCTCCTGTCTGTGCCTGGCACCACAGACTGGGCACCCCAGCAAGCATGGCAAAGGTGGTGGCACCCCAAAAAAGCATGACAGGGGTGGCGGCACATCAGCATAGAGGGCAGAGGTGGTGGCATCCCAAACCACAGGTGGCAAGAGGAGGGTGGCAACTTGTTTCTGTTCAGTGCTGGTGTCACCCTATGCTGACAGTGTCACAGGGAACCCTGGGGAACAACCCTGCCGTGGTGCGGAGCTACGGGAGCGCAGGGGCCCCGGCAGCACCTTTCGCCCTATAGATCAACCTGCAGCCCCGGCCACAGCTGTGTCACCCCGTGTCATTGTCCCCTGCTCGACAGTGCTGCTTGGCTCCGGAAGGGTGCCACCGTGGGCGACAGGACTGGGGCTGCACGGGGGATACCTGGCAGCGCTGGGAGGTCACTGTGACCCTTGCCAACCCCTCCTGAGCTGGGTGACGAGGAAGAGGAGGGTACACTGGGCGGCAGGGGGACCACATGGCTCCTCACAGGACAAAGGCAGCATGAGCTGGACAGCACAGACATGATGATACCAGGGTCTTTTTTACATATCTGCTGGTCCAAACCGGGTGATAAATGCAGAGGGGAGCTTTGCTCTCCTCTGCCTCTGAAGCCACTGCCTGTGCTGCAGGGTGGGCGTGTGTCACCATCACCCACCCCGGAGCAGACAGAGACTCGTGCGAGCCCCTGGCTGTGCAGGCAGGTGGTGGCAGGGGTGTCCCTTGTCTGGCACCTTGCACGCCAGCCCTGCAGCGCTTGTCCTGAGCCCTGGGGACTGTGGCCCGGCTCAAAAGTGCCAAATACTGGTGAGCAGCACTTTTGGGCGTGCCCTCTAGAGCACCACTGGCTGTGTGCAATGATGTGACTGCACGTTTGCAACCCTGCAGCCCACGCGACACATTCCTGGTGGCCTTGAGCCGAGCTGCAGGCACAAGACCGCAGCCCTGTGCTGGTGCGGGTCCGGCTGATGTTGGGCAAGTGTGGGTGCACCGGTAGCGCCACTCACCTGTAGTTGGTGCTTTTGATGGGGGCCCATGTGTAGGTCCTGAACACCTCGTCGATGTATTGCTGCGGGTCAGAGGGAGCTAGTCAGGCCTCTGCGGTGCCAGGACCCTGCCGGCGCAGTGACAAGGGACCCCGGCTCCGAGCCCGATGCCGGACACAGCCCCTCACTCCCCACCGCTGGGGCTGGGCGCTCAGCACGGCGGTAGTTTTGGCTGTGACCCCCTTCCCCTGCAGTGTTACCTCGTCCAGGGACTTGATGAGGGTCTTGATGAACCTCTGCCCGTCGTTCCCATCAATCATGCTTCTCCGGATCTGGGGGACACGAATGAGGTGACTGAGAGCCACAGAGCCTGCCACGTGCCCGTGGGCACCCACCCCAGTGGGGTGGCACTGGGGACCCGCGGGTGCAGGAGTGAGCAGCCAGGGGGGGCTCATCATGCTGGCACCCAGGGGACAGTGACCCGGCCCCCATCCCCGCCGTGGCCCCACGGGAGCTGTGCCGGGGCCCTTAGGACGAGGCGCTCCCCAAGACAGGCTGGAGGGGCTGAGTGCCCTTTGCAACTGCAGATCGGGGGGGGCAGCCTGTACCCCAAAAGCTGCCCCCGGTCTGCACACCTCCTCCTTGTTCTCATCCTCCAGCTCAGCATCCAGGAAGTCCAGCGTCACTGGCTCACGGAAATTGATGATCTGCAGGCAGAAAGGGAGAGCCGGGGAAGGGCTCAGGGCTCCTGCAGCTGCCACTGAGTCCAGACAAACTCATCACAATTCCCACAATTAGCTCCTTAGCGACCCTGGGAAGCCGCGTGTCCCACAGGGCCCGGCTAACCCCCGCTGCTGCCGCCCCGATGGGCCCCTTCTCACCTGGGGCTGCAGGTTGGGGTGCAGCAGGACGTAGCCGTTCAGGTCGATGGCGAAGACGTAACCGTTCGCCCCCAGCTGTGGGAGGACAGGAGGAGGGATAAGGCCAGCCAGGCGCCTCTGCGGCGTGCCGTGCCGGTGTGATCACCCTCACCTTTGCGTGCAGAGCTTGCCCCATGCCACCCGAGGCTCAGCCTTTTCTATCCATCTATTTCTATTCTCAGGCCAACAGCACCTCTCACCCTGGCTCTGGATTTTGCCCGCTGACCCTTTCCCCAGGCTGGTAAGGTTTATTCCCCACTGACCCTGCAAGGGTTTTGGCTCCGCTCTGGGTCCCAGAGCATCACCCAGCTCTGATCCCTGCCTGTCTGCGTGCCCCGGTCCCTGCCTGCAATCATGGCTTCTGCACCCTGCTACTGCCAGTGCTGCTGGAGGGGCTATGGGGTGCTGGGGGGGGCAGCCTGGGGCTCCCTGCAGTGGGCTTCCACACCGGGCTTGGGCAGCGCAGGGCAGGGACGGAGAGGAAGAGGCCCCCACGCACGTTGTATCGCGGCGTCAGCCTCTTGATGTCGTTGAGAGCCACGTCGATCCCCATCACGCCCAGGATCAGCTGGTTCTGGAAGGAAGCACAGGGAGGGAGGCGGGTGGGAGCAGGGCTGTCCCCTGCCACTGCCAGCACAGGGATGGGGAAACAGGGGGATGGACCACTTCTCCCTCCGGGGACGTGTAGGTCAGATCTGGACACCGCAGGGGCATAGGGTGTGATGTGTCAGCCCTGCCGCAACCCTCCATGGGACACTGCACCCCCCCAGGGACTTGCAGCTGCCAGCCGTCCCCATTGAACCCGGAGAGCTAGCCAAGGCTGTCTCGGGTCCTGGGGATGGCAGTCACCCCTGGTCACACCCCAGGGGAGGTATGCAGAGCAGGCAGCACCCCAGGGGTGCCAGTGGCCACCCCCCACGGCCATGCACCCAGCATCGGGGCACGCTCCCCACACTGCCACGGCCCCACACCCAGGGCTCCCAGTGCAGGCAGGTGGTGGCAGCCACAGTATCCTACCTTCCTGTCACTGCTGTCCTCCGTCAGGTTGAACACTGGCAGCGTGCCTGTCACCACCAGACCCAGCCCCTGCAAAAGCACAGAATGGTGTCCCATGGCCTGTCGCTGGCCCCAGGACCCAGAGCTGGGTGTGGGCAGTGGAGGAGGATTACTCCCCTAGCAAGGGAGATGGGGGCATGTGCTGTGCGGGACCCTGGGGCTGGTGTCCCCACTGGCAGCCCGGGACTGTGTGGAACCCCGGGGCTAGGTGTCCTCACCTGCACCCCAGGGCTGTGCGGGACCCCGGGGCCAGTGTCCCCACCCGCATCCCGGAGCCAGTGTCCCACCCGTACCCTGGGGCTGTGCAGGACCCTGGGGCTGGTGTCCCCCCCCCACACCCCAGGGCTGGGGGTCCTTACCAGGGCATCCTGGTAGACGTTGGTCCACTGAACCTGCTTGGCTCGGTTCCCGGCCAGGACCATGGGTCTGCCCAGCACGTCCAGGTACTCCTGCAGGGACACAGGGCAGGGGAAAGCATGACATGGGAGCCAGATGCCTCCCTGCTCCAACCTGGTGACACCCCTCTCCCCACACATGCCCCAGGGATTATTAATAGGGTGCTTGGTGCTGGCCCCCAGCTGCAGGCTGAGCTAGGGGAGGGGGCTTGGCAGCTACCAAACCTGAAGG